GACTTCCTGTGCCTTCTCACCTGCCTCCCATTCACTACAGACAGGGGCTTGCGGCAGGGCCAGCAGTGCCACAGGAGGACAAGGGCCAAAGGCTGAAAATCGGCTGGAGGGACACTTCCCTGCCAAGGCACCGAGACCCTCTCTCAGCCATGACACCCGCTGCCCATTCCCCTCAGCCTCTTGGCAGGGGGGAGCCTGGACTCCCCCCCCCATGGGACAGTGTCAACAGGTGTCCCTTGAAAAGCTGCCTTGCCATGGAAGGCCTCCTGCCAAAATAAGAAGGGGCCCTGTGAAGGTCTGGCACAGAGTGGCAGGGCTGGAGTCACTACGTGGGGCGGGAGGAGGGAGGTGTCCAAGAGCCCTGTGAAGTGGACCCCGGGCAGGTCTAGTCCAGGGCTTCCGTGCCAGATTTTGCGGCCTGACGTAGCAGTGCCACCTGATCCAAAAGGAGCAGCCCACAATCCCTTGCGACAGAGAAGAGGCTCAGGCACACCGCAGGATGAATGCACAAGAGCCGCTTTCCTTCCCTCTTGTAGATGTTTACAAGGATAAAATTTTGGCCCAGCACCCTGAGATGCTCTGCCTCCAAATTAGTATCTTTTAAAAGCAAGTCTCTAGTCCTCGTTGCACCGATATGTTAAAGGAAAGGACTCTGAGTACGTTCTGTTCTGCTGAAAGTGTTCCCTTCCGTTACGCAGATGGCCACGTTCTGAGCTCCGTTTGCAGGGCTCCATCCACCCCCAGCACACCCTTTTGTATTCCAGGAGGAATTTTAACAAGGTCCACAAGAGAGACAAAAGGGAGAGCTCTTCTCTGTCCTGCCCTCGGTGGTGCTTCCCGGAACAAGAGCCTCTTCAGAACCCCTGATGGCTGCTGTCTGAGAAAGGGCTGCTGTCTGATTGGCCACCATCAGCCCAGACCCTTCGCTCGTTTGAATACGTTCTCCTTGGCCGGGGTCAAAATCTATCTTTAAAAAAGAGAAAAAGCTCAGGTGCTTCCCCCCCCCCTTGTTTTTCTCTGTCCTCACAGACAACTCATTTGATGCACAAAATCTTGCCTGAATGAGCAGGATAAGAATGAAGGGAGAAGGCGGCACAAAGCGCAAGAGCTGGAGATGAGCTTTGCCGGGCGAGGCGGGGAAGTGGCCGGAGAAATGCCCCTGTGGCCCCACACAAGCACGGAGGAAGCGGAATGCAGGAAAAACAGCCCCCAAAGAACCCTCAGCATTTGTCTTTCTTTTCTATTCTCTTCTCTCTTTCTTTTTTAAACAAGACACTTCCTAGCCCTCATGACCAATGCTCCCTCTAAGCCGTGGAGTCTTGTGAGCAAAAATTCCACTTTGTGAGCTACTGGCATTAAAGTTGTGAGTGAGCAATTTGGCTACTGCATCGATCAGTTTGCTCTGGGCCCATCCTTCCTGAGCTAAGACAAAAATGTGTGAGCCGGAGGCTAAAAAACTGTGAGCTAGCTCACACTAACTCAGCTTAGAGGGAGCACTGCTCATGACCAAGAGCCTGTGGGCGATTGCTGGGTGAAGCCTCAGAAGCTGCAGGAGAGGATGAACAAGCGCAGAAGGTATCAAGGGCCTGGGACTTCGGCTCCCCAAACCACTGCTTGGCCCTCTTCGTGACGAGCAGAGGTCCAGATCGGCTTTACAGTCAGCGGTCCAGAGCAGGACCCTCCCCCATCTTCTTCCGGGTCCTCCTTTCTACAATTTAAAAATTTCCTTCTTCCCTTTTGCTCTGTTAGTTCCACTACAGGCATTCCGAGGAACTCCCCAAACGCTCTGAAACGGCAGGGCCTCAGCCAACACGGTCTTTGCACAGGGGCTGTTCCCAGTGCCTGCAGCAGTCCCTTTCGGCCTTGCAGGTCTCCCCTCCCCAAAGTCCGTATTTCTGGACTGAGGAATCAGCACCTTGCCTCTTCCCCTTCCACCCATCTCCCTCCTAGAGATGTGAAGGCCCGGAAAAAAACGGAAAAATTCGGGGGAAAAACGTTTTTCCCCCGTTTTTTCCTGAAGCCTTTTTTGTTTTTTTCTGAAAAATTGGAAAAGTTCAAAAAAGAAAAGAAAAGAAAAAAATTGATTATGGAACGTTTTATTTTAACATGATGAATAAAATATTTTAAGACAAGGTGTTCAAATATTTTCCAAATCATTTCTAAAATATATATATATGGTATCAGATTGATCTGATTTCTGTGCACTGAGGACAAGCAAGTCCTAGGTTACAAACTGAACTCTACAATGCAAGAACAAGATGCATTTCTTCCTTTAGGAGGTGCGATTGTCAGAAGAAAATAAAAAAGTTTCAATTTTGTTTTTGCATGTGGGTGGGTATTCTGTTTGTAATAATTGTTTGGGTACACTATATTTTTAATATGCTAGTTGTGATAATTTCATGCCAAGTAAAAATGTCCATAGTCATATTTTATGTTCCTAAAGTAACAGAATGACTTTCAATCTAGAAAAAACAAAAGAAATGCTAATGTAGCCTTTTTTTCAATTTTCCCGAAAATTTCCATTTCCCCCCGAAAAAAACGGGTTTTTTTCCGAGCTTCAAAATTTCCAGAAATTTTACATCTCTACTCCCCCC